GTCTCCCTCCGCGCCCCGCCCCACGCGCGCGTGCGCGAGCACTGAGGGCCGACCCGCTGCTTGCGCTGAGGGGAGGCGTGGCTCGGGAAAGGGAGGGCGGGGTGGACGCGAACGCGCCGACCTGCGCGCTGTCCCTAGAGCGCAGCCTGCGCGGCACACTGCGGAGCTCCGGGTTCGCGCAGAGGGCGGGGGTCAGAGTCCTCCCGGGCTGTCGGGGCGGTGACGGTGATGGCTCATTTCCACCTCTTTGAGGTTCCACTTCCAAAACGCATTTCCTAAGGCCATGAAGAGTGGCTTCTTAGTGCCTGTTTTAGGAGCAGATCAAAGTTATGTGTCTGTAGGTCAGAAGTGATCCTGTCTGCAAAAGATTGCAGAGGAAATCAAGAAATAATTCTAAGACCTCAGCTATGGTCTCATCTCACAAGGAAACCAACCTTGTTTACAGTCTGAATACTGTTTCAAATAGTATCTTCTAACATCCTTCGCGCGAAGAGCCATTCTGTACAATTTATTGAACTTTTAGGTTTGCACGACTGTGTATAGCACCACCAAGAACTGGACCTGGGACAGGGTGAAATATAGAAGTAGTGAATATCCTTCTATCCTTTACAGATTATCTGGGAAGCAATTTTAATTACGTGAAATACAGAATTCAAGGTCAAATCAGGCCAGAGTGAATTTTGCTTTCTTCTTTGTAAAATGAAGGAAGTAGATAAGGTCTGTTATGATTGTTCTCATGAGTCAGTGCCTGACTAATGACTTACTAATACAGTACCAGATAAAGAAATTCAGATGGTTCCAAGGTATTATAGAGTATTTTGTGTTCTTGGCTCTCAGGTCCTAATCTGCATATGATTCTTCCAGATTTTACTCAGAATTTCTCTTTTGGCCCCTTCAAATAACAATTCCAGGGCCTCCTGTGAGATGGCACTACAGGTAAAGGCACTTGCTGGCAGGCCCAAGGACTTGATTTCCATCCTCAAAATCCACAAATTGTCCTCTGACCTACACACACTGGTTCATCTTCAAAATCTGCAGCCTTTCATTGAAGTGTGGTTTCTCAGTGCTCAGGTAGGGTCCAGGAACTCAATCCAAGTCAAGGAGAGGTGCCCCACAGCACATTTCCATACTCCAGTTCGTCTTTTGGGGGTCTGTGCATGCACCAGGGCTGGCAGAGTAACAATCCAACTGAAGCAAGAGGGACATCAGGTTCACCATGCCTCAGTCAGTAGCTGGCATTGATACAGACTTCTAGAGTCTGGAGTATGACACTGGGCAGTTTATTTTAGGCATATTTAAACACAGTTTAATTTGGGGAGAAAACAGGTTTTCAGATGGTACTTAATCCTGTGTGTGCAACAAAACATAAAAGACACGTTTACATCGAAAAGATGAGTTCTATTGACTGAGAAACAATGGTCAATATGAGGGTCTAGGAGGAATGAGATAAACATGAGACTGTGGGAGTCAGAGTGGTCCGGACCTACACATAGCACAGGGTTTGCCTAGGATGTTGTAAAGTACATGGGACCTCTTCCTTGAGGACAGGTTCCATTGACCAAGAAGCAGCGGTCAAGATAAAGGTCTAGAGAGGAACAGTTGGGATAAGCGAAATAGTCTGGGGGACTCCAGTGTGGCCTGGGCCTACAGACCACACAGGTTACCAGGCTATCAACAACATGCATTCCCAGATTTCTGTGTGGAAAACAGGTATACCTCTCCTCTGTTAAGGAGACATCTCTGCACGTTTAAACAGTCCTGGTTTCCCGAGTGCTTATCTGTGGGCACAAGAACCTTGTGTTCTCCACATCTCTCTCTCAATCTGTTCACTCAGGCAAAATGGCTATGCTATCGATTCCTTTCTTCTCTCTCCACTCCGAGCTAACTTGCAGCTTGAAATGTTTTCCTTTTATTTTCACTCTTTTTTCTTTCCTTTTCTTTTTTCTTTTTGAGATAAGGTCTTAGTTTGTAGCCCTAGCTAGTCGAGAACTTGATATGTAAACCAGTCTGGCTTCAAACTTGTAATGATCCTCTTACATTGAGCCCAGTGGCTCCTGAGTGCTGGGATTACATGCATGAACCACCATGACCCCAATATTTCTGAGACAGGTTCTCCTTATGCGACTCAGACGGACCTGGAGCTCATAGTCCTTCAGTCTCAGCCTAAGTACTTCAGTCTAAGTATTACGATTACCTCTGAAATAGCTGACTAATTTCTCCCAGCAAGAAGTCACTCCAGGGGCTGGAGAGATGACTCAGGTTAAGAGCACTGACTGTTCTTCCAGAGGTACTGGGGTCAATTCCCAGCAACCACATAGTGGCTCACAACCACCTGTAATGGGATCTAATACCCTCTTCTGGTGTGTCTGAAGACAGCTACAGTGTACTCAAATAAATCTTTTTTTTTTTTTTAAATAAAGAAGTCACTCCAAGCACTTAGAGATTAATAAAGGAAACGGTAATGCTCGCTGATGCATCAGCCTTGAACAGGGATTCTTTACAGTGTATAAAGGTTTGAGCTATAACATTGCATTGATACATACACGTTCATCTATAAATCTCTTTTAGTTTCCAGACACTTTGAATAATTAAACATATTTTACAGAGACAAAAACTCCAAGTTTGGTTGTTCATGACAAACAGGGAGACTTATAATTTAAAGATATTGTCACAGCTTTCTCCAGACGGACTGGAGCTGCTTTCCCCTGACAGAGTTATACTCTTCCTGAGAAGAGGCACAGGACGTAATGAGCGACTGTCAGTGAGTATCATCTTCTCTGATGCCTAGCAGAGGTAAGCTCTTTTTTTATCCCTTGGACAGAGTTTAGAGCAGGCTGGCCTGGCTTCTGCCTGGTCTCTGCCTTCCACTGGTGAGGCAAGTTCCTCTTTTTAACGGGAAGGAGCCTAAGGGCAGCTAGGAGCTGGGGTTGTTTCCTTTCAACTGCCCAGCTAAGCAGGGCTTCTTCAGCTCAATTTTTCCTGTTTGTAACTAAAATGTTTCTATGCAAACTAATTGGTAAAGTTTTTTATTTTGTTGTTTTGTTTTTGGTTTGTTTTTGAGACAGGGTTTCTCTGTGTACCCATGGCTGTTCTGGAACTAACTCCGTAAACCAGGCTGGCCTCAAACTCTCAAAACTCCGTCTGCCTCTGGAGTTCTGAGATTAAAGGTGTGGGTCTCCATGGAAGTATATCACTTCTGTTTTCCCCTTCCACCACCGCCCATCACTTCATGATTTCTCTACTTCTTTCTGAACAGATACACAGAATCAATGCAAGAATAGTAGGATGAGCAAGGAAGAGCAGCAGCAGGGGTGGAGGGGCGGGGATGGAGGGGCAGGGGTGGAGGGGAGGGGGTAGAGGAGTGGAGGGGCGGGGGTGGAGGGGTGGAGGGGTGGGGGTGGTGGGGTGGAGGGG